AAAATTCGTTTTTTAAATTTTACTCGAAAACCAGGCTTTTTTCGAAAAACATATGAAGTAATTTGTAGAAAATTGAAAGACGAATGACGAAAATATCATGGTCGTTCCCGTAAAGCAGTGGCGTACTATTTTATTTTGAAAAATATGCCACCGATACCCTGTATCTCCGCCACTGGAGCATGTGAGTTTTAGGAAAGGCCCTCACATTTTGGACAATGTTTACATTAATACATGTGCCCAATTTCAAATTATTTCGCCTACTAGTTTTTAAATTATTTAAAAAAATTAAAAATATTTTTTTAAGTTTAACACCCTGTATCTTTTTAACGAAGCGTCCTAGATAAAAACTTTATAGGAAAGACTCCCCTTAAAATTCAACAAAGAATACGAGGTTTCATTTGTGAATTACCCTGTACATTTTTAAGAAAATTGTGGTAAAAGAAAGTTAACTGTTGTTCTCGTACTATTTAATGTAGAAATGGTACTTTTGGGAAAGTTTTGTTAAAGGTGCTATGACTTCCGCCGCTTCTCTGTATATTCAATTTCATGAGGTATAGTCTTTCCGAAGTCAGTTGAACACGTACAAAAAAGCCGAGCAATAAAATTTAATGAGTTTCATAGGCGTCCCTAAAAAAGTTTTCTGCAGAAGGTAAAAAATTATAAAAATTTATATATAATGTGTAGAAAATTTCTATTATATGTTCATTTGACCAACAACATATTTTAATTATTTATGTCCTCAAACAATTTTATTATATTGATGGTAAATTTCATTTTGTTCCGTTTCAAAAGGTCTCCAAAATGCCATGTAATAATATTAGTAAACCAAATATCCCTCTTATTTCTCCCTTTCGCTATTGTAATATAATTAATAGAAGGTGCCTATAATAAATTAAAATTACATGAATCACACGAAATTCCGCATTACTGCACTGCACTGCCGGGCGTCTTGTCGACAACTGAAATTTATGACCAGAGCAACAGTGCGCAACGCCGTTTGTCCGCACGCGCATTCTTCAACTGGGCGTATACATTTCTACCATCCTTGGTTCTTCAATTGATATCGGAAAGACTATACCTATGGAATCAATTCACTCTAAATGGTAGTTATCTGTCTTATTCTTAGTGAACTCAACAATAGTGCCCGACAGTTAGATGAAAAGAATGTGTTTCACATGTTTAAACTGTTGAACATTCATAAATTCATATTGCAAATATTACAGAGAGTTTTATTGTTAACATAGGTGTTTGAGATACTAATAAAAAATAATAATTAAATGTAGGTATACATCTTTAAATTTATTACACCCATCAATGATAATTTTATTAAACAATTAGTGTAATTTGTAAGAATGTATTATTATATGGTTTTATTTTATTAATTGCGTATTATTGTAGTTTTCTTTAAAATAAACTTAGTTTCTTTTTAATTATAGTTAATTACCTATACCTATAATTATATCATTTCAGATCTTATTTGAGTTGCATTTTCTTTTACATTTACGCTACGTTAATGCAAATATCCAGAACTCTTTTTATATCATTAAATTCTTTTTCAAGTTCGTTCTGGGCAATATTTGTCAACTTATTTACAATGGCTTCTTGAAGTTCCTCCATCAGTAAGCTATCAGAACCAAACAAATAAAAATCTAGTGATCTAAGATCTGGGAAACGTGGTGGCCATATACCCTTACTAATTACCCGGTCATCATTGTATTCTTTCATAAACCCATGTAATGTATGGGCAATTTCTCCAAATTCTAGAAAGAATGTTACTGATACCTCATTTGTATTTTTAAAAAATAGTCTATGACATGACATAGTTATCCAAATACTAATCTTAACAAGAAGTAAAGTTGTTTAATAGAGTTGCCGTATCCCATAAACGATAATTTTGTAAATGAAATCATTTTTATGCGAAAAAAAGTTATATCTGAAGTGTCATTTTCTTTCAAATTGTCATTGAACCATTTGCAATACTGGATACGTTTTTCAAAATCTAGTGGGTATAATTCCTGTACAACGATAACTTTGTAGGGATGAAAGTGTAGCTTCCTTCTGCTTTGTGACATGAACCAAAGGAGTGTTTATATTCAACTTATAAATAATAATTATAAACGTAGTATTCTAAAGTATTTGGTACCTGTTTGAACAAAGGGTAAAAAATTGCTATTATCAAAGGGGATTAAGCATATTTGGGTATATGAAACTAATAAAACTTTAACCGAGTTAATGTCATGAACATTTAAAAAGTGTAACACTGTTGATTACATAATCCGCCATAACTCTTCCACCTTTACTTTCAGCGATAAGTGAAAATGCTCTTTCACTGTTAACACCTGAATAAATGAGACAAATCCAATTAAAACCGTCGTAAATCATCGCCTAAACGGCCGAAATTTCCCGTAAGATTTCTAATTTCGGATCTATAAACAAAAAAATTAATGGAGATACCGATATTTCGTAAGCCTTCCGTGATAATAAATTAGAAGCAACAGATGTGCATATTTTATATAACAAACGGCTTCCCAGAGTGTTTTAGAACACATCTACTTTTCTCACATATATAATGGTGGTCGCTCTTTAATTTACAGTCTCGTGTCGCGTTATCAAAAAATGTTACACGCTAAAATGCTTGCTGTGTCGGGAAATAATTAGTGGCCTAGGTACTATAATTTTAATAGGGAAGATTTATGGGGGACATGTGGACTTTCTAGCCGAATCCTTTATAATGCTAAACCACCAATTGATAAGGCATAATATATCGACTCCTAACGCAAGTAAAAGGTGACAGGAGAACGTGAGTTTGTAATATATCGAGCTCTTGAGCTAGATATCCAGGAAGTTGAGAAATAAACAATGTGTGTAATATATTTTTGGTACAGACATATTCCCATAGCTGCGAAGGAATGCCAAATACACATTGTACAAACATAGACATGATATTTGAGTGACAGAAATACTTTTTTGCAAATATATTTTTTTTACCTACTAACTTGCCACAGTAATAAGAATTTGGTGACTCAATGTGGAACCTAAGGAAAAACTGCCTGTTTTTCGGGGATCTCTCCTGAATTCGACACGCCCATTTCTTGGGTCCAGAAGTTTCTGTTCTTATCTTACTGGCGGGAACCCTGAGTATCGGGACGCTTTGGCATAACTATGCCATGTTAATAAAAGTCTAATGGACTGAATTTACATTTATATGAATAATTCTGTGACTAACTGAACTTACAAGTAACCCTAGCCTTCCTATAGTGACTCCGTGTAGCAATACGGGACGGATTAGTCCATCTCATTTAATCTATTCTTATAGCTTGGAAAATCCGCCTAAAAAACAGCTATTTGAACTATTACTTTCTTTTCCTCACAACATTCCAACAACTTATTCTTGGAATTCCTACGTTATTTGGAATACATTTCGCGCGTTACTTGAAATATCGATTTTTCTCTTTATACCTACTCAACACATGGCCCCGACAGTTAAAGTGAACTAGTTAAAAAAACATTGCTAAATTTCTCCGAAGGACGACGCTAAACCTACTTGAGAGCCCTTAACTTTCGATAATTTGTATTGACTGATAAAACTAATACTTTACTCTTGGCACAAATTCACGTTTCTTTATTTGCTGTATGTTATTTTGAAAGTCTGAGTATGGCTAATGACTCATGATAAGCAAAACTTTTTATGAAGAATGACTTTTTCCCTTAAAATGCGAAATAAGAGAAATTACAAGTATAGTCAGGTCCATCTATATTGTATCAAGAATTCTCTCATGGTAATCAAAGTTCTTTTTTTCCAATTGCATATACCACCTTTTGTGATTACGGGATAACTCTTGCTAGAATAGTTCTTGAAATTGCTTAAAATTTTTCTGCAGAATTAATTACAGACACTATTTGAGACCCATAAAAATCTCCGCCCTGTATAAATTTCAAGTACAATATTTTTTCCAAAAATTAAAATTAAAAAATTTTCAAGGTTCAACCCTGTGTGTGTTTCTTTGAGATCTCCCAGTTCTCCCCTTATTCAAACACGAAATATAAACAGTCGCCGATAGACTGCCTCTGCTTAGCTAGCCGTGATTTTATTGAGCTCAATTGTTTTGGTTATGCTCCGCCACTTTCAAAGAATCCACCGAGATAATTAAAGAGCTGTCGGCACTTCTCTTTGATGATTTTTTCGTACGAGGTATAAGTGATCATGTTCCCGGTAAAGCCGATTCGACACTTTTTTCCTTTCTTATATAACATAACAAGAAGTTTATTGGGAAAACTAATTATGTATCACATTTTAACCCTCTGCTTCGGCTACGTACACCTAACGGTTATTTAACCTCCTAATTGTTCTAAAAAAACGAGGAAAAAACGTAAAAAAAATCTGGTCGTTAACTACATTAAATAGTGACGGTTAATACTTAAATTATACCATTGGGAATTCAATACGTTTCTTATGTTTCTTTAATTTGATTTGAATTACGTAAATTTCCGAAAAAAATGGGGTTTTACTCATATCTTACGCTACCAAGTTAAGTTTATAAATAAGTTTGTGAAATACAGGTTCTCTCTACTTGCATCGTTTATTTACTGCGAATAAATCACTTATGTACGATAAAAATATTGTTTGTTTGATATAAAAATATTTTAGTTGGCACAAGTAAACATCTACTTGAGAAAACCAAGTCCTGTGACAATTAGACAACTAAAGTTTATGTGTTTACTAATATGAAAATTCTCATTTTGTTCATTAAATACAACTTTCCGTTCTGAAAATATTTTCCTTGGCATAAATAAACTTTAACTAAGGAATTTAATTGCTTATAAATTGTATTTCAAATATACATCCCTTAATAAAACCAAAGAAGAATTAACAACCGTCTCGGTCTCTTAACAGATATTAAATTATTGTATATTAATCACAAATAAATTGTTTAGTGGCATCAAAAACATTGTATATTAATGGCGCTTGCTTCATACTAATGATTTTTCTTCTTTTTCAGATGGCCAGAACCACCTGAACCTCTTCAACAACAGACAGCAACCAAAGAAGAAGCGGAAATCGCGAACGGCCTTCACGAACCACCAGATCTTCGAGCTGGAGAAGCGTTTCCTGTACCAAAAATACCTCAGCCCTGCGGATAGGGACGAAATCGCCTCTAGCTTGGGCCTGACGAACGCTCAAGTGATCACGTGGTTCCAGAATAGGAGAGCGAAACTGAAGAGGGACATGGAGGAGTTAAAAAAAGACGTGGAGAGTGCTAAGCTTCTCAGCGCTCACAAGAGCTTTCTGGAGAATGTCACAGACTTGGGTATATTGAAAAAGAAGGCCATCGTCAACGAGGACGACTGTCCGAAGAATTTGGTGGTGTCGGAGAAATGAACGTTAGTGAACCGAGGATGGGTCAGGTTAACACGAAACGTACTCTAAGAAACGTCTCGGTTTTTTGTAAATATAATTTTGTATTTATCAAATTCAAATAAATTCGTTGTGTAAGATTCTTAACGCTTAGTAGACGTTTCTTTTCTTGTATATTTATGCCATAGGGAATCTACTTATGAATGTGTAATTTTTGTAAAAAATCAACTGTAAATAATGTATATAGTAAAGGTAAATGAATGTTTTGTAAAAGTTGTAAAGTATATTCGTATGGATTGAGCTCTAATTTTACTTATTTATTTTTCGTCTTTTTTGACGGGTATTTGCAATATTTTAATATGTATATTATACGAAGCTTTAGTACTTAAAGATGTCGTTAGCGTCAATGTCAATAAAAGTATTAAAAGTTTTTCGAGACTTCTTTATTTAGTCTTTTTATCGTTCACCCTGTATATTTCATCGCATTTGTTAGAGTTGTTTCAAAATCTTATGAGTTTTGACCTTGATATGCGCAGAAACATAATTCCGACCCTCCCCTAAATTATTCTACGTCCTAAAAACATTACATCCATTATTCACAGTCTATCTCGAGCTGTCGTAGCGTAAACAAGCCTTTGCTCCGATTACAAATATCATAATAAAATGCTCTATTCTTTATTATTTTAATTTAAGCAATAAAAATACATATAACTAATGTTCGCCAGTTGACTTTATTGATGCCCGAGCGCCTTAGTTCATTTCTGGTTGTAATGAGGCACGTGGTCTAATTCTGAGCTTATTAGAAGAATTATGTGGATACGCCACGCTTTTCGCGTATTTCGCGGTTCATGAGATTTTGAAACTACTCAAGTAACTGTAAAATACAAATAAAAAAACTCTTCGCTATTTTAATAAACAGCAATTTGATCGTAAATTAGTTATCAAAATGATGGGCAGATCCTCGCATATAAGTAAACAGCAGTTAATTTAAACAACTCAATTTTGTGTAGGTATCAATGGTCGCATAATTATCAAATATTAGGTCATTCCCAGAGACTTCTCCATGTAACATAACATGCATTTTTTATAAACGAATAACTAGTTCGATATTCAGAATGGGCGGGGTGAAGTTATGAGAATTCTTTATTAGAAATTGGCAGGTGAGTTGATTATTTCATCGATTAAAAACGATAACGGCAGTTTCGGTTTCGTAATGGTTCACATCTTTCTGCATAGCAACCGTAAACCTGTATTATATTGACATTTTAAATAAATACTGGTATTTGATAACATTTTTTTATCAACGTAATCATTTGTTTAATAAATTATTTAAATAAGCGAAAATAAAAAAAATTGCGCTTATATTTTTTTTTAAATGGAACTTTTAGGGTTACACATTTTCTATACAGGATGTTACGGAAAAGTAGGTCGAGCCGTTAACCATAGGTTATATAGTTAAAACTAATATGTAGGTATAATATACAGAGTGTTTCTGAAGTAAATGCGTTAGTTCAAAAGGGTCATAGAAAAATTATTTTAAGCATGAAGATGTGTCGCAGTTGGCTTCGTTTTCGAGGCACAGGGTGTGGAAACTTAAAAAAATGCCTCACAAATATCTCTGAAAACCCCACTAAATTACAAATAAGTCAACCACTGGCGAAAATATAACTAATTAGTACCGCTAAGAGCTTCAGAACTTATAATAATTTGTTTTATTGACCCGATGTAGATATGCACTTATTTCAGAAACACTCTTTATAACTCCGTATATATTTTTCAATTAAGCTCATCTTTCATGATACACTTAAAGTTTAAGCGCAGACTTTTATCATTGTAGGCTTTTGTAATTCATTTTCACAAATTGTAACTACATATTTTTTACTGAGGACAACAATAAATTTAAAAGGATAAAATTCCTAATAGACCTTTTTAGTAGTGACGTCCCATACGCCAAATAATAGACAAACCCATACTACACATTGTCATGAAGTCAGTATTTTTACTAAATCGATTTTCGACCTTATGTACTTTGGACATAAGTGCCAAAAAAATATCTTCTTTGTCATGACCTTAAATATCGCGATATTCTGGCAATATTAGAAATATTTACGAAGTTTCAAACCCCAAGTGATATAAACTAAAAGAATTTAATATTTTTTAATTTATAGAACAATACATACTGACTTTTAGTAATTAATAAATTAAAATTATGTGAATGATACTGAGCCTGCGCATTAAAGATAATTTCATGTCAGTGAAGTAGCATTGGAACAAGATACCATTCATGAAAAGTTTGGGTCTGGTTAAAAGTACGTCTATAACCACTTGAAGAAAAGAAACACTCGATAAACCAAGAAAAATAATAAGAATTACTTGGTAGAACTAGAAAATTAAACAAATGAAGAGAAAATACGCTAATGACAGGGATGATATATCAACAAGATCTCACCTGCGTAAGAGACTATTCTTCCCGAGCCGCATTAGGAATAATACGGCTAATGTAAAATTTTTACTTTATTTAAATTTAAAAATATTCTTTTACGAGTATATCGTTTTTTGTAAGGTATAAGCACATTACTGTATCTATTTTACGAAACACGTGTTAACTATTCTTAAATACTTCTAAATCTTTGTAAAAATTCTTCTATAGTCTCTATGTTAATAGTAAACAAGGGTCAGACTCGATCTGTACAATTTCAACTATGACAATTTGTTGCGGATTGCCTAAATATGTGACGTCACACTAAAAGAGTATATTACAATCCTAAGTTGGTTGTATGACATTAGACAGAAACGTATCCGAATCGGTATTATCTAAGGGTAAAGCTTATTTAATAAAAAATTGGAAAATTAAAAAAATAGCACAGATCGAAAGAAAGGGTAAAGCTTATTTAATAAAAAATTGGAAAATTAAAAAAATAGCACAGATCGAAAGAATTTGTAATATCTCGTAAACTAAGACCTAAAAAAAATAAAAGACCACACAATGCGTGTTAACCTACTCCTTATTTTTTCACTAATAAAAGTTGCACAAAAACATGCTGGGAAGGATTAGAATATACACGAAGTTTCAAATGACAAAAGTTATTAAAAAAATATATTTCTTTAAAATTATAATTGTAATTAAAGAAATAACTACTGCAAACTATTTTAGACAATAACGTAATCAACTTTTTTTAAATAAAGAAAATGGTTATTTTATTGTCAACTTTAACATTGACTGATTTTTGAAGATTCAAAAAAAATTAAGTTCAATTACTATTTGTTATAGACCGGATGGGCTGCGGGACATCTTTGTGAAAATTCAATTTTCCTTTTCAAAAAAATAATGTGTGGAGTGACGTATTTCTCACTTATGCCATGTTCATAAGTTGAAGAGAAGTATCGATTTTATCACAAATTTTTTTTTGCATAAGTGTCGCAAGGGACTTAAAAATGGAAAACTATGTAAGAAAATGTGAAAAACTTTATTTGTCTACCAATTTCTCATTAATACCAATTAGAAATATGACATTATTATATTCGAAAAGCTCATAAAAAACATTAGCATAAGACCTACTGAGAACTAAAGAAAATAGGGTTTTGGAAAAGCTGCGGAAAAAGAAAATTAAATTTTCACGTAGGTGTTCCGGCAGGCAAATCGGTTTTTTCCATAATCTTACTTGTCTCTAATGTATCTTTCAGTACCCTAAAAGGCATAAACGAGAAAGAAGTCGTTGAACTTCTACGAGTATCTCCCGGTCTATTAGTTAAAGCATTCTTAAATAAGATTACATTTCTAAAACAGTTAGTAGTTACATTAAAAGTGTCAAAAACATTCGAAAAGTGTTGATTAATTCACTAAACTTTCGAACCTCTTCATTGATTTTTCATATTCAAAGTTTGTAAAAGTTATTTGAGGAAATGCGACCAAGAGTACTTTCTAGCTTTTATAATAATGTTACAGTAGCGTAGTTGGTCGAGAATGCGGTGGCAAGCTTTTGTCGGCCAGGCTTCCTATTCTGGTCCGGGTTCGATCTCTGGCGTCCACACTGGCAATGTCGATAAATAATGGGTGTTTGTCCGCGTTTTTTCAAGTGTAGCCCCCTTCCGCACAGCCTTTGACTTTGAATTTGGGGGTTGTCTCATTTCTGTGGTGTTTTATGTTATGCAAATTAAAAAACTTACGAAAATTGTACCCAAATGGCGGCGCAGAAAGTGATAGTCACAGATTAAGCTCATTTCGAGAAACTTTCTGATGAAAGTTTTCCAAACAGTGAAACTTTCTTAAAAAAATAAAACTTTCCCCCCTTCTAAATTACATCCCGACATAGTTCGAAAGTTTTATAGAAATCTTGACAGAAACAAGCCACTTATCCACATGGTAAGTAATTACCTTTCGGTGAGTACCGCATATCATTAATTTAATCAAGTACCCGATGGAAATCGCGGAACAATGCAGGTACGTCGATCTATAATTAACAGCCGTTTAATCAGCGACCCTTTTGTAATTATTGGCAAACTAGAGGGAAGCCAGCGATGTACGGCTGGCTGGCAGTCGTACTTACATAGTTGTACGGTGCAAGTCCGTGATGATACACATGTTTAACTGCATTTTTAAACGTTGTTTCCGGTTGTCGCTTCGAATTACCCCTTTGATTGCCATAGATATGGGCTAATTTAGAAATGTGGCCTCTTCAAGGTGTACTGTTTCAAAGACTGACGTTTATAGCTTTGCAATAAAACGAGGTGAGCGTGTACGTCGTCGATGCAGACCGCTGCCTTCTGGATTATTACCTTTCTGTATTAATTTCGAAGCTGAAATAATAGTGTAGGTTTTAGTAGGTTTTAAAAAAAATAAATGTTGTATCATCAGCTCTCGTATTTTTACTTTATTTGGAAGGTACATGGGTCCCAGCTAAGGGGTGTCCCAAAATTCAAGTAAGGTTTGTATTTTGTGTGCGGTACAGTGTTGCGAACTAAAAAAAGGTAATGTGAGAGCTGACAGTTCAGGGTTATCATAAATGGAGTTCTAGACGAAACAACAACGCGTTTTCATTGTTGAGTAATATTAAAAATAATGAATGTTTGGCAGTTCGCAATTGTCATACAAAATCTGGTTGAAAAAGTGATTTAGTTAAAGGCTCTGGTCATCCTTCAACAAGTTGTTTAACACAAATTATCGAAGCAGTTCGTGAGAGTGTTGCTGAGAGTCCAGGAACATCAATTCGGTACCGTACTCAAGAATTGAACATTTCGAGAAGTTCTTTACAGCGTTTTATCACGAAAGATTTGCATATTTATGCTTACAAAGTTTAATTGACTCAAGAACTGAAGACTAGTGACCACGCAGAAC